CCAAACCTTTTAGGGGGGTCTCGCTGGGCGGTATAGGAAAACAGCAATGCAAACACATTACTAAGAAGAAAACAAGCGCTCGGTATTTCCAGAGACTGTTTAATCCGGGATAAACGTAATTTTGTTTAAATAAAATATATTAACCTGAATTAATAATACAGGAAAGGAGAGTGAATTAATAATGCACGTAGCCCCGGTCTCGTGGTTAAACACCTCCTGGTAAGAACACTCTTATTAACCCTCTTCGGCCAAACAGCTCGTAATTTCTCCCGTAACGTCCGGTGATTTCCAGGAGGACCCACGTCCCCTTCCACCCGAGACCACCCTCCCCCCGGGGACATTAAACCCACGACCCCCAGGAGAAGAAAGACTGGGACTAAAGGAAGGTTAGAGAGGCAAAAATCCAGGGTAATTCCAAACGCGGAGGTATTACCAGCCGATAATTTTTAATCCCGGAAACATACGTGATATTAAATTGTGCACAAATAGGCTTTACCAGGGTCTGGCACTTTTTTTTTCTTTTTTCTCTCGGTTGGTAATAAGTGTTAAATAACGTGGAAAGGAAGGGTGACATTGCTTTATATATGGTTTGCAACTAAAAAAAAAAAAAAGGCCTTTTTTTACCCTCCCCTGCTTTTTCCTCCCGACGAACAGGTGGTCTTAATCAAAGCCCTTAGCACGATCTAATGGGAAAGTGGGGACCTTTCTGATATCATAAATTTATGGGCCCTTCCACGCCAGCTTTATTCGGCTAAGTATTTATAAAAGTAATATCCGCATATGCTCCCTGACATGGTAACTTTTACTTCCTCCCGCCGAGAAACAAATGGTTATTTTCTTAACCATCAATTATCAACCGGGATTATTGTCGTACACGCAAAATTTCCTGCCTCGTTACCCCGCATCAGGGGCTCTGGTTTTTACCCGTCGGGCTGCAAGGAGTTGGGGGGGTGTTGGGGGTGGAAATCGCTGTCTAAACACCTTTAATACCATTAATTCTAAAATATAAATCGGAGCCGGAGAAGCGACGCGGGGTTGGTCGCCTGAGCGTTAAAACCTTCCTATTTGCGGGGACGACCGCGGGTGCGGAGAGATCCCTGGAGATGCGGGGATGATCCCTGGAGATGCGGGGATGATCCCTGTGGCTCTGGGTGACGGATAATGGCAAGTCCTGAGATGCCCCGGGTTGCAACTCGGCGCAAAAACTGGGTGTTTTCTCCTGATTCGGGCGGGTTTTGTTGAGGTTTGGCTTTGATTTATTTTTTTAACCGCGCGGTCTTCGTTGATTTTTGTCTTTCGCGACCTTTGAGACTTGGTGTTTTAGGGGTTTTACCTCGCAAAAAAATAGAAAGGCTGGTCCTTGGGGGGAGGTGAGGGGACTAGGGGGGAGGCGGAGGTTATTTGGGACCCCCTTCCCTCTGTTAGAGTTCTGTTTCGGAAATTAAAAGGACGGTCAGGTAATTTCTCGCCCCATCGGAGAGCACGAAAAGAATAATCGCTAACTGGTAAAAACAGAAAAAAAAATTAAAATAAAAAGGATATTTGGTTAAACCGATGCTCCCGTGAAAGGTGAAAACGAAATTCGGTAGGAGAAGCCCCAAAACGACGCGGGGGCGCTGGGTTCCTTCGGGGAAGGGTTATTCCAGCAGAAACGGGGCCGGGGCCGCGCCGGGGGGAGGAAAATGGGAAAGTAGGAAAAATCTTGTGGCAGCCCAGAGCGCCAAGCGCAGCCCGAAGGGGGTCGAGGTTTATCCAGAAAGACGGGAAAATCGCAAATTTCTCCCATCAAAGAAAAAAAAATTAAAATAAAAAGGATATTTGGTTAAACCGATGCTCCCGTGAAAGGTGAAAACGAAATTCGGTAGGAGAAGCCCCAAAACGACGCGGGGGCTCTGGGTTCCTTCGGGGAAGGGTTATTCCAGCAGAAACGGGGCCGGGGCCGCGCCGGGGGCAGGAAAATGGGAAATCAGGAAAATCTTGTGGCAGCCCAGAGCGCCAGGCGCAGCCCGAAGGGGGTCGAGGTTTATCCAGAAAGACGGGAAAATCGCAAATTTCTCCCATCAAATTAGGGAAACTTCAGGAGCCGCTTCGCGGGCGCGCAAACGGCCGCTGATGGGTTTATTCGAATCGTTTTATGCGGGAATATGCTTAAACTGTTTGCGTGTAAAGGTTTATATATATATCTATATGTAATTTATACAATTTGTTAACGATGTAAATTTTAGTTAAAGAACCTTTTCCTGTAGTCGATGATGGGGGCTTTGCTTAAACAGCAGCATCAAACATTGACATTACATCCCGCCTTCTATCAGCATCCCGAATTGATTGTTTCAACTCTTTAAAAAAATTATATATAAATATTATTATTTGGTGTGAATATTCTGCAGCTTAATATCTCTTTTTAATGAACAAAAAAAAAACCCAAAAAACACCCAGTGCTGGTTTAGCTTTTCGACCGGATCAGCTGAAAACACCGTCTCCGCCGCCTTTTTTTTTTTTGAGCCCCGGGACGAGGTGGGCGCGTAAGCCTCCGCCCCCGCGGGAGGGAGCGGGTGCGGGGGTGGAGGTGGCGGGGGGGGGAAAGATGAGGCGGAGCCGGGGAGGTGACATCGTCCCCGCCACCGAAAGGTGGCCAAATTTGTCCCCGGAGCTGTGACCCGAACGGTGGAGCTGGGTCAGGGAAACAGGGAAACTGCGCCGCGGAAACTGCGCGCCCCTTCCCGCAGCCCCAGCAAATTAAAAGATATTTATTGCGCTTGGGATATATATAATTTCCCCCCCCCCCCCCCGCGGCTTCGTGTCGTCGTCTGAGAATAATATATGCAGCAGTTGTTAGCCTCACCCCGGGGAAAACTAAATGTATAACGAAAGCTTATTCGTGAGGAGGAATATACTAACGGAACAATCTGATGTCTTCTTAATCCTATGTAAAAAGCTCGGTAGTCTTCCTAATATTGACTGAATGGGTAATTAATGGCTCTTCATCGAGGAGAATACCCCCGTAATCCGAGCTAGGCGAAAGACAACATGCCAAAGGTAAAAAGACAACAGGACTGGCTGGAGACTCTACAGAAAAACCGATTTATCCGTTTAGGGGAGTATTACGCCCTAGAAACGGAGGAGGCCGTAAGGAGATAAAGGAAAAGTGGGAAAATAAATAGTCACAGTAGGTTTGGCCACCCCCCCCCCCCCCC